TAAAAAAAATAAAAATATAGCCTGCTTACAAGTTTCAAATAAAAACAAAGTATTGAAAATAATGAGATAATCAAGAATTTACAGGAACATACTAAGCAAAAGTAAGCTGGTATAGCAATACTTATATTATGTAAAGTAAAATATAAGGCAAAGCATTTAATAAGAATAAATTTAAAAAGGAACATAACGACATGTGCATAAAATTAGATGAACTTGTATGTTTCTGTATCAGAGTAATTTAGTCTATGCTACAAAAATAAATTATACTGGCTTTACACAGAAAAGGTTTATTTCTCGCTCACATGAAGTCCTAGGCAAATTTCATCACTCTGCAGACCAGCAGTCCCCCATGTGGTGACTCAGCAATCCTGGCAGTTTCAAATTTGTGGTTAAATCATCTCAACATACAGCTTCCTAGGTTGCCAAGGCAGGGGAGCAGATGAGCCAAGTATTCTGCAGGGTTTCTTCAGTACTTCAGCCCAGCAGTGACACACACTCCTTCCACTAATAAGAAGATGGCCAGAATTTGTCATGTGGCATGACCCAACTGCTAGGGCGCTGGCAGTTGTGATAAAGCACATGCTTGTTCAGTAAGCATTAAATGTCTCTGTCACAACAATTAACAAAATGTTCTTGAAATTCATAATGTAAATCTGGACAATAATATAAAGAAAAAATAACAAAAAGATTGCAGTGAAAGAGTTTTAATCTACTTCTATTAGAGAAGCAGAGATCAAACAAAGAAATGGTAGTATATGTTAGTTTTAGACATACACATATATAGTGAAATAGTTTTTTAAAATGCACAGAAATACTAATCAGAAATCTTTATGATAGTAGATTGCTTCTCAGAAAGAAGTAAGGGAGCCAGAATTAGAAAAAGTTACACAGGAGGTTTCAACATTATTTGCAATATTTTATTCCTGAAAAAAATCTGAAGTATAGCATAATAAAATGTTAATATTTTTCAAGCTTCATACTGGTTACATCATAATAGTTATATATTATTCTCCATTATTTTCTGTATATTTGAAATAGCTCATATTAATTTTTAAAAGAATATATACATGGCTGCAATTGTTTTCTATGATAGGTAACAAATTATCCCAAACTTCATGGCTTAAAACAAAATATATTTATTATCTCACAGTTTCCATGGATCAAAAGTTAGGGCATGGCTTAGCTGGTGACCAAATTCTCACAAGGCTGCAATCAAAGTATTGGCCAGGACTGGCATCTCATCCAAGGCTCTGGGTCCTCTTCCAGAGTCACTGATTGTTGGCAGAATTCAGCTCATGGTGACTTGCTTCTTCAAGGTCAGCAGGGGAATCTCTGACTTCAGTCAGCTAAGTCGTATATAAGGTAACATAATCATTATCTTTGACATATAAGCTAATTAAAAGACTATCTCCTAATTTTCACAAGATTTGTTTTGACAGAGCCCATAGTAGGTGTGGGTATAAGGAAGAAGAATCTGCAAAGGTGGGCAGGAGTCTGACAATAAGGCTCCTGACTTTATACCATGAAAGAATTGAAGAACTAGAGGATTTTAAATAAAAATAGAAAGTAATACAAGGGTTTTATAATACCATGTTAGCAACCACAAGAAAGATGCTTTGTAAGAGCAAAAGGATTTTTTGCTAAATATTGTTAAATATCACCTGTCTTCAGGTCTGTGACATTTAACAAGGAAAGATGATTCATTTAGTTAGAAGTGTGTATGCCTGACTTGAGTTTAATGCTACTCAGTGAGTTTGTTGTGGGAATCAGAAGGTTTATATGTAAAGCTTTTAGTACAATGTATGACAAATAGCATGTGCTCAAAAAAAGAAATTAGTTCCTTTCTTTCTTCTCTGAGCAACAAAATAAATAGAAAGCATGAGTTTACCTGAGAACCAGAAAAAAAAATTGAATTAGTTGAAGTTCTGACTTTTGAACACTTTTTGATATTGCTAATACCCTTTGTGAACAAGTACTACCTATAAAAGGAATAGACAACAAATTGTGAATTCATAACTGACAAATTCAAATGCTGAGTAATCCCAGCCCCAGTGCTTGCTGGTATAAAAACTGGGTTTGGGAAATGTGCAATAGAATATTTAAGGAAGGATAATAATACTGAGCCCCAGTATTAGTATTGAAAAACATTGACAGTTCATAATTAATTCATAATGAAACACAAGCAAGAAAGTACTTTCATATTGAAATTATTTGACTCTACATTAAGCAGCTGCCTAAATATATTTCTTACATCCTATTCACTTTTTAATGAAATGTTTGTCTCTTAATGAGAAGTTTGCCTTTCATAATTAGATATATAATATTCATGCCTTGTGGTTCCCCCACAAGGAATTTATAATTTATTAATTATAATTTACAAAAAACAATTTATTCTGTATGTTTAGTTTAAGCCATGACAGGCTGAAAGCATAAACAAAATTCCATACAGTGAAAATCTGTAGGAGAACACAAACTTTATTTGATAATTCAAGACCCAAATGAATAAAAACTATTTGTTAGAAAAAAAGCTAAACCAAAGTTTTTAAATGAATAGTGTCTTGTTTGCATAATTACAAAACTAAATCACTTTTGTGTTACCATCATGTCACATCCTTAGTTACTTTCACTCTGCTTTACGAACATTAGATATATATCTTATTTATCTAAAAGCTTATTGATGTAAAAGCTTCCAGTCCCTGGAGCACTGGTTCTTAACCTTGGCTACACAGTTAGAATCATCAGGAAAACTTTTTTTAAAAATTCTCATATGTAGGCTTTACCTCAGACCATTGAAAAAGAATATTTGGGGCCAGGCGCAGTGGCTCACGCTTGTAATCCTAGCACTCTGGGAGGCCGAGGCGGGAGAATAGCTTGAGGTCAGCAATTCGAGACCAGACTGACCAAAAGCAAGACCCCCATCTCTGCTAAAAATACAAAAAATTAGCCAGGCGTGGTGGTACTCGCCTATAGTCCCAGCCACTCAGGAGGCTGAGGCAGGAGGATCGCTTGAGCCCAGGAGTTTGAGGTTGCTGTGAGCTAGGCTGACGCCACAGCACTCTAGCCTAGGTAACAAAGCGAGACTCTGTCTCAGATAAATAAATAATAAAAATATTTATCTTATCCTAAAAAAAAAAAGAATATTTGGGAGTAGACCCTAGGCATGAAAATTATTTTTAAAATGCATAAACATACAGCTCGCATCAACCCCTTTTCACACTATCACTACGCTATTCAGGCCTTCAGTATTACACAACCCGACTCTTGCAAGAGTTGTACAACATGTCTTTTCACCATCCTACTCACCATTTACAGATTAAATGCCCCCAAAATCAAACTTTAACATTCATACAAATCGCCTGAGGTTCTTGTTATGATTTTTATTTTTATTTATTTATTTATTTTTTTGTAAAGACGGGGTCTCGCTCTTGCTCAGGCTGGTCCTGAACTCTCCTGAGCTCAAATGATCCATCCGCCTCGGCCTCCCAGGGTGCTAGGATTACAGGCGTGAGCCACCGCGCCCGGCCTTGTTAAGATTTTTAAGATGAAGACTTCAGCAGATCTTGAGTGGACCTTGAGATTCTACATTTCTTCCAAGTTCCCAGATGCTGTGCATGCTGCCAAACCACAAACTGGACTTTGAAGATCAGGTCCTATTTGTTATTGTATTAACAAAAAAATTGATTAATAATAAAAATAAAATACGCCTTTATTATTTTTTATCCTGTGTGAACATAACGACATTTAAAAATGAAGCAAAGTCAAAGTACATTTTTATAGGAAGTTACCCACATCCACACATATAAACACACACATATACATATATGCAAATTAGCAGGTAGAGTAGAGGTTCTTAAGTGTTTGAATTA